TGCAAAATACTACAATATCTAATTAAATGAGGTATTCATAAATAAAAATTATTCAGCACTTTATTTTAGAAATTAAGGTTTCGTTTGGGACGGTTTTTTATTGTTCTTAAAGTAGCTTTCTAGTATAAAAATTAAAATTTTTGTACTAAAAAGTTGCTTTAAGAAGCAGTAAGAAAGTCATCAAGGTTTCGTTTGGAAAACTTTTTTTGCTGTCTTCTAAAATAGTTTCTTAGTATAAAATTTTTTTGAATTATAATTTTATGTACTATAAAATTGTTTCAGAAAGCAGTAAAAAAGTTATCCCAAATGAAGTCTTATTTCTTACTGCTTCTTAAAATGACTTTTCAGTAAAAAAATTAACACAAACGAAGCCCAAGAGCGGAGATGCTTTCAACCAAATAGAAATGTCATAAAATTATTACAAAAAAAACACTTTAAATTACTTATAAAATTAACTATTGTTAATTATGATATTTAATTTCAAACAATGCTTGGGGTTGGTTGAGACTCTAAAGATATTTTTTATTTTAAAGAGGTTGTCATAAGTTAGTCAATGATGACTATTAATTCACTTGTATATGTCGTTGTGAAAATTAATTGTAAATATTATAACTTAAAATAAACTTTATAAAATAATGATCCAAGTAATGTGACTTCATTAGAATAGCGAATGCACACCAGAATTCACATATTTTCAAAGAATAACTAATGCACGCAACATAATTACAATATATGAGATGATGATGATAATGATATGCATAGCATAAAAAATAATGTTTTTGAAAATTAGTCAAAATAGGGAAATTTTACCCAAGGACTTATGATTGATCATATATATATTTTTTTAATTTATTGACTGAAAAAAAATACAAAAAATATTTATAATAAGCAAGGCCCTAATCATGAAAAGATATTCATTCCTAGAGTATGCTTAGATTATTGACATCTTCAATTATCAAAATGTGAATTAATTATACTGAATATTTAATTTAAGCACTATTTGAATATTATTCTTCTTTTTTTTAAATAAAAAAGGAATTTTATTCAATCAATAAAAGGAGGATACAAGCAAGTCCAATAAGGGACCAAGCTAAAATACAATTCAATAATCAACAAAGAAGTGACATTAAAAAGAGCATGAAGCAAATGCCAACCGAGCTTAGTCATTGGCAAAAAGCATTCTGCAATCACCAAGAAGCTAAGCAAGGACCATCCAAAGGAGGAAGCAAGCAACAACCCACAAAACAAAGGCCTCCAAAAGCACCACCAGTAGTTGCCAACAAACCACAGCCATCTTAGAGGGGAATAGAAAGTCGCCACATCATTGCCTCGGCCACGAAGAATCAATCACCACCAAACAGAAAAACGGACCAATCCAAGTAGAGTCCAACAGATGAAAGACGGCCCAATCCAAAAAGGAAATCATTTCTTTTTTGGATTTACGTCATCGTCAACGCTTACTACTTTTTTTTAGAACCACCATCATCATCAAATTGAATAATACTTAATCAAAATTATCTTGCGAATCCAAATCATTTTCAATAATTTCCTCCCCACCATATGAAGAATTGTAATTATCTAATCAGTCACCATGCATCACCTCATAATCCCTCGATTTACCAATAAGATGAGCAAACAAAGCATCCCTGGACATAAAAAATATAGGCACCTCAATAAGTGGCGTAACGACATTATTGTCCACAGGATCAAAACCATCAGAAGAATAAACACTTAAATGAGCGGGAGTATCTAAAGCATTACCAACCTCACCAATATCAACATGCACAAGTCCACCCACAGGATCACTACCCATTGGGCCAACCAAAGTCTCCAAAACCCTAGAAAAATCATTAATCACCTCCATATTTGCCTTACAAAGCTCCAATTTTGGCTCTTTCATATGTCCAAATCAGTGGGTGAATGAATCAACTCGCAAATTCCCTCACCACCAGCACAAACCAGATTCATACAAGCAAAGGAAGCATTGGATCCATCATTGAGATCTACCAAATCAGTTAAAAAAGGTGAAGATTATTATAGTTGCTTAAACATATTAAGGACGAATTAGGGTCATTTTGAGACAGTTTTTTCATTGTTTTATTTTGCAAACAACAACCACAATTTCATTTGGCTACTGCTTCTTGTTGTTTTTCACTGCTATTGAAATTTTTTTGAGATTGAAAGTTGTTTTTTGAAAAAGAGTAGCTAAACTAATTTCCTCACATCAACTCCCCAAACAATTTTATAAAATGCTGCATATGTTTCAAACAAACCCTTAGTCTTAGTGTTTTAGCATTATCCATAGAGTTACTATTCTCTTGAAGGGTCAATAGACTCCACTAAAAAGGTGAGAAATATTTAAGTTGAATATTATCAAATGATCAACTAAATACAGATTAAATATACACTAAATGAGGGGTCATTTTTTAATTTACAAATATGATATGCGTGTAAATAGATGCTTAATATTTGAATACCATAATATACTATCATTTTGTTCATATAATTTGTTATGAACTTTATAATTTGATCATAAATTATTGAAAATTTGATCTAATAATTGTAACCGTTATTGTAATATTTTTATTATATTGCGCCGACTAATATGATTAATTTTATTAAATAAAATTTAAATTTATTAGCCGAGTCTTTCATGCTGAATTGTTATCAGTATCTTTCAGGCTCTGAACTAATTTAATACAGGATTAAGGAAATTAATTAACGTAATTATGGACATATATGATAGTGATTTATCCGTCTTTTTGTAATCCCTCGAGTTATTGCCAATGGCTGTTATTTTCAATTTGTAGGCATATTTTGTCATAGATCCACTCTTGACTTGAAAGATAGTACTAAAATCTATGAATATGCCAATATAGCAGGCAAAGCAATTAATATTTTACTTATATTATTTTTTTGCATGGTTTTATTCATGCAAATATTTACACAATTTTTATATAAATTTACTAAAAGAAAATCATTGAGAGAGAGAGAGAGAGAGCTTTCAGTCCATTGGTGATGAACCTTCAGTTGGCCAACTAAAGACCAATGTGACTGAGCAACTTATTAAAAAGTAATTTTGTTATTCATCAAACAAGCAATCAAAATCTAGGCTTGTTATTCCACCAATAGATTGGCAAATCTGAGACTGGCTCTTTATAATTTTGATCCCACTCCCTGAGATCCTTTGAACCCTATTTTAACTCAAAAGCAACCCATTTAATTTTATTTTTCTTTAAAATTTTTTCTTGTTATTTTTTATCGATTAAGCTAGACTATATAGTTTACAAATTATAAATTTTTTTAATCAAAATGGGTTATTAGGTTAGGTTCAGATTACCCGAGTTGCAAACAGATTGAGTTCAGATTGATTGAAGTGATCAGATCATATTCATTTCGAGTTAGACTCGGTCCCGAACTCTATTTGCTAGGCCATATTGACGCTCTTACCAATAAAGTGTTAATAGCTTCTCCCTCCTTCCTCTTCTTCTGTCTCTTCCTCCCATCTCCCAGTTGCTTCTTGCTATGGATTTTACGCAACCATTGATTGCTCCCACTTTTATGGAGAAGTATAAAGCGGTTTCTATGAAGTATTATGTGCGAATTAATAAGGAGTTTGATACCCATTAACTTTAAAAATAAAATGTTAATGAATCTTGACTTTAATATGCAGTACTAACCTTAAAATTATAACTAAAACATCTCCAAGATGATTAACAAAATTAAAACTCCACATCTAACAATTAGTTGTTGAGCTACAAAAGTCTCAAACATAGCAGTTGGGTTGATGTAATTTGGAAAGAAGAAACATTAAAGAACAATTAAATATAATTAACTAGTAAGGTTGTTAAGCTCCTCATTTATTAAAAAAATTGAGTACAAGTTTAATGATTTTGAAAATCAATATCTCTTTGCACACAAATAGGCTAAACTACATGTCCTGTTGTACAAATTGGCCAATTTTTAATATATGATAAACAGACGATTTCTTAATATTTGTATTTATTTATTGATTTGATGCTATCATACATTTATATTATTTGCAAACATTATATACAATCATAGATGATATCGACCGTTTGAACACAACAATCATTGCTCAAACTGTCAATAAGATATTGGAGCGAATAAATAAATTTTAGTGTACACGGAATCATTTATTTAATTAGTTAAATATCATTCATTTGATACTTAGGCTTTTTGGGATAACTTTTTTCATAACATAATCATAATTTCTGTTTGGTCACTATTTTTTCATTGCTTTCAAGAAATTATTTTGCTATGAAACTATTTTCTATAGCAGCTTTCAAAAAAGTTATTTTCTCTACAACAGCTTTAAAAAAACTTTTACAAAGATTTCAGCCATCCCAAACGGATCTTTAATTAGAACTCATGAATTCAATTATGTGTAAGAATAAGCATATTTATACTTAAATTATTAACAATAAATAAAAAATTAATTAGACTAAATTAAAACTCTATGATGATCTACTTGAACTCTTCAAGAAAAATGAATTAATAAGCAACTACGAGCAAAAACTTAAAACTTGATTTATATTCAAACTGACTTTAACTCAATAAATAAATAAATTTGAACAACCATATCAGTAACCACAAGACACTTGCAACTAAGAAGTAGACTTCTCAACAGGAAAATCCCTTGATTTGCTACCAAATCATTAACTGTCTTGAGAGTTCAAGCATTCAATCTTTATCCCTTCAACCAAGACAATTAGGTAACATTTCAACCTCTATAAGCCAGTACTTCTCACCATCAGTTCCTCTGATTTCTTCACACTCAATCAAGATTATCTTCTTTTCTTTTCGCTACTGCATAGGTGAGATGTCTTCTTCCTCCCTTTGCTGCAACATGTGGCTGAGTAAGAGAAGAATTGCTTATTGAGCCATCCTTCCATGCTTGTTTCAGAAGAGAAGAGTGGTTGGGGTGAGGTCATTGAGAAAAAAAAAAGGTTTTTGATTGAATTAATATGTGAAGAAAGATGTCGATTTTCATCAGTTCTTGCCTGCTCTTCGTTGCCAATTCCCTGATGTTCCTCTTCAGATTTATTGCCTTGCATGTTATCAGGTGAAGGCTGCATTTTTTTAATTTTCTGTATTTCTACCGTTTTAACCATAACTCTGTTTATCCTTCGTTTTGTAGAAAAACTTTCAACGTGTCAGAATTGGCTGAATCGAATTATGTTAATAAGGATGAGGAGAAAGGTAGAAGCTTCAGTTTTAAGTTTCAGTATCAGATTTGTAATGATAATAAGGATACTCCAGTCAAACTAACGGAGGAAAATGAGTTTTCAGTGATATCTACGGATATTTTAAAATATCAAGTTTGCTCTGAGAAAGATTTTAGAGGCACCATGGGAGAGCCAAAGACAATGAACTTTCAAGTTCATGAATCCTTCATGGAGTTAGAAGAATATAATAACTTCGATGGAGACGAGAGTATTAGATTTTTGGCTGCAGAAGATTTTCAGAAGCCATCCATGGAGGCCATGGCTAAAGAGAAGGCTGATGATGACCAAGTTTTGAGTGTTTTGAACATGATGCAATTAAAGAAACAATTCTCTGAGGTGGAAAAGTTCAATTCTGTTTGTTCTGAGGTCAGTTCAGTTAGTTTCTCAGATTTTGATTCTGATTCTGAACCATCAAGTGATTGCTACTCTGTGAGAGATCACATCAATGATTCTGATTGGGGTAGCTCTTTTTCAGATGGTTATTTTGGTGATAGTGAACATGATTCAGAAATCAGGGAAGCTTCAGTAAATAGTAGAAATAAACTTGCAGAAGGAAAACTTGAATTTTTCTTGGAAAGATCTGAAGGGGAAGAAGCAAATGACGATGACAGCCATGCTGAGAAAAAGAAGCACGTTTCTAATGCTGAGAACAACAACAACAGGGAAACTTATTCGAATGAAACTACTTTAAAAGTAAAAATACAATCAAGTAAAAGAGAAACCAGAAAAAGACAACTAAAACTTGAAGAAGAATCCAAAAATAAAGTTTCTTTTGTTGAGATTGGCGGTGCAAGATTAGATTTTTCTGGAGAAGCTGACTCAGAACCAAGGCCTAAAGCTTTGGACAGAGACGAAGAGGGGAAGAATGAAGATGATAGCTCAAAAAATGATTCAAGCAATTCAGTATATGTTTCTTATGAACGACAACAAACAATAGATAATACTGATAATGAACAGAAAAAGCCAGAACTAGAAGAGGAAAAATCCAAAGTAACCTTCACTTTAGATTTGGATGAAGATGAGTTTGATGAAATATGGGAGCACCAAGATCTTATTATGCAACTTAAAATGGAGCTTAAGAAAGTTAGAGCTGTAGGTCTTCCTACCATCTTGGAAGAATCAGAAAGTCCAAGTGTTATTGAGGATTCAAAATCAACTAAGCTTGATGAGAAGTTATCTCGTGAAGACCCAATGGATGAGCTCCACAATATGTACAAGTGCTATAAGGAGGGGATGAGAAAGTTTGACATTTTGAATTATCAGAAAATGTATGCTACTGGTAAGCTTTGTTCATTCTCTTCCTTCTGTCTTCAACCATCTACCTATCTCCAATTTCTTTTATATCATTGCCTTATAATAAATTCATTGCAGGCTTTCTTCAACTGAGAGATCCTCTTGAATTAAATATAACTCGGAAGTCTATGTTCTCAGCATTCATGTCTCATCTATCCCAAAGCTTCTTGCCTTTTAGCAAAAAGAAATCAAACTGTGATCCATCTGAGAAGTACATTAAGGAGCTGCGATGCGATCTAGAAACAGTTTATGTTGGACAGATCTGCCTCTCCTGGGAATTTCTTAGGTGGCAGAGTGAAAAGTTTCATAAGCTGACAGATTCTGATTTATTTATAAGCCATCGGTATAATAATGTTGCAGCAGAATTCCAACAATTTACTGTTACATTACAAAGATTTGTAGAGAATGAAATATTTCAAGGACCAAGGCTTGCAAATTATGTCAAACAGCGATGCATTCTTCGAAATCTTCTGCAGTTACCAGTCATCAAAGGTGAACTAAACATATATGTTCTAGTTGAATTTGTATGGCATTAATATGTTTAACATTTTGATAAATCGTGTTAACAATAAAAAGGAATTTGATGTTGCAGAAGACTTCTTGAAGGAGAAAATGGAGAAGGGAACAGAAGAAGATGGGATCACTAGAGAAATGCTAGAGGATATTATGGAAGAAGCAATGAGAATTTTTTGGGAATTTGTTAAGGCCGAGAAGTATGAAACCCCAAGATTCATGAAGGGTTTAGTTGAGAATCATGTGGAACTTGAAGATCCATCAGACTATGAGTTCTTCGTTGATATACAAGCAAGTTTGCAGAAGGTGAATCTATGGTCTTATTCCAAAATGATATAATGTTTCGTTTATAACATATATCTTGATTATGCAAAAATTTCATAAATTGATATTTATTTAAATAGGTCTAGAGATTTTCTTATGAAATTTTTAAGAATTCCATGTTTTTTAATAGCTTTTAACAATTCCTATAAGGTAGTTTGAATAATTAGCAAGATTTTAATGAAAGAGTATCATTGCATTCCTCGTGTATCTATTAGTTTCATTTTTGTTTGACTTGCAGAAGGAGAAGAAATTGAAGAACCTTCTGAAGGAAGGTAATTGCATGGTTAAGATGTTGAAAAGGAAACAAGAAGGTAGATCAAGCCATGACCTCTTCTTCACTCAAATAGACTTGAAGATAGTTTCAAGAGTCTTAAGAATGTCAAGAATAACAAGTGATCAGTTAATTTGGTGTCAGAAGAAGTTGAGCAAGATTATTTTTTCAGGGAAAAAAATTCATAGGGAGCCCTCATTCTTACTATTCCCTTGTTAGTTGCTAGGAGAAAATTGATGTCTTCTTTTCTTGTTTGCTCTTTTTTTTTTCACTTCCTGTCAACTTTTCTTGTGTATATTGAAGAAATACACTCCAGTTCAGTTTTACGGAATAAGGATTAATTCTACCCAGATTAATTTCATTCAAGTGCAGCAAAGTTGAAATTATTTCTTTAGTCGAGCACAGACTTCCTGCAAAGTACCCAAAATTTTGTGCGGTGAATGTGAAGATCCTGATTAAAACTTTTTAGCCAACTAAAACAGTCTTTATTTTCATTTTTCTCAATGCTGAAGTTCATGGATCATACAAAAATCCAAAAAAATAAAAAATTAACAACTGTTGCTCTGTTAAATCATCTAAAGACAAGATCATAAAAACTACTTGATTCTTCTCAGAGCTCGCTTGTGATGTAGGTAATTCCTGCAAAGATGAGAAGAAGAAGAAGCAAGCAACAATAGAACAGTAACTGGAATTCTGGATTGTAATATGAATAAGAAATGATGTTTTCAACTACAGGTTTTCTGCATATAATCCTCCTATCACCTATACTTTAAAAGGGACTAAACTGTAAAAAGGTATAAGAAGTACTATATAACTAAATATGGAAATCACGATAGTGGAGCACATTCTATCTAACAGAAATAAGTGTTAGTATTAGGTAAGAAGACTGATATATCCTCAAAAAATTATCTTGATCGAGCACGAATCTCGAGGCAAAATCAAGCCGGAAACTTCAAAAATTAAATTTGGGATCACCTAAACTCCGATTTCAGCGAACTTATAGTCAAACTGAGCGTCTAGGAAATACAAACCCAACGACACCCAATTCAATTCAATCAGAGCCCAAATGAGTCCAAATCAAGGATCCGATGCGCTGTTGGAAAGTTTGAACCACAATTTGAGTTACCAAACAATTTCCAAATATGACGTAGAGCGACCCGACGAGATGAATCCAACGAGCCTAAGATTGCCGAATTCCGACATCATTAAGACCTTCAAATGTCTGACGAACGGTACATGATCAAGGGATATCGGCCGTCCATCCAACCACTCCCTATTTACCCCTGATATCTCACATATTTACAAGCCATGACACTCCAAAATATCTATAAATAGACAATTCATTTCTCATGAGAGGGGACTCAAGCAAGAAGAAGAGAAGAATAAGAAAAGGATAGAAGGGAATAACTCCTTGACCACCGCCAGAGTTCTGCCCGACGACGGAATTATGCCGAACTTCCGAGCAACACCGGAGTTCTGCCCAACGCTGAATCCTGCCTGACTTCCGAACAACGCCGGAGTTCTGTTCGACGCTCAAGTGACGCTAGAGTTTTTCCCGACACCAGAATTCTGCCTAACTTTTGAACGACGCTGGAATTCTGTCCGACCTCCGAAGGACGACAAAATTCTGCCTGATCTTCAAGTGATGCCGAAACTCTGCTTGATGTTGTAACTGATTTTTAATCCTGAAGAGATTCATTGTAATCTGATTGTACTAAATTTTAAGGAAGAGTCGACCTCTTATATTTCAAGCAAAACACTAGTGGAACTTTTTCAACTGGGCGTGGCCCCGTGATTTTTCCCCTTTCAGGATTTTCACGTAAAAATCTTAGTGTTTCTATTTCTCATATGTTTGTGTGCTAGATATCCGTGCAATGCTGAGACGGAAGTTTTTTAACTCTATCGTCACGTATATTCTAGTCTGCAACAAAGATGTTTCTCAAGCCATCTCTAAATAACGACACTCTGCATCATATGACCCCACATGAAGAGAATATGGGCTAGTTTTTTCAAACTGAAGTGAACTGTCATCTGGTGGCACATAGGTGTATATATATTAGCAACATTGAAAGTGTGGGAATTGTTAATGATGCGGACATCCGACAATGAACACTTATCTGAGGAAGAGACGAAGATCAACGACCGAGATCATTACACTTTTTTCTTAATTTAATAATTGTAATTTTTTGTTTTATTTATGCTTTTTCCGTTTTTACTCTCTCTTGAGGGAGTTGTCCTTTGTAAGCCCTAGGGGCATGTTTGTCTTTCTTGAATTTCTTTTATTTTGATGCCTATATATAGAGGCACTTGCTATTGTATTGATATGATGGATTATTCATAAAAAAATATTCTGCACTCTTGTTCTTTTTATAAAAAACTTTTGTGAGATCCCTATGTGAGGGAAGAGTAATATCCACTAGTCATAGGCTGTGTCTGGGCTCGTGGTTTGAAGTCTCTAGGTGAGGGCAGTGCAACACCCATCAGCCGCAGAATGTGTTCGAGCTCATGATTTATCTTTCTTTCCATACACTTCCTTTCTCCTTCTATAATTTCCCTTCTTCTTTCTTCTAGCTGCCGCTCCACCCCTCTTCTCCCCTAAGTAATTTTCCCTCACCCTTCCAAAAGCCGCCGACCACCTCCCCTATTCCCTCCACCTAGAAGCCGGCCCAATTAAGACCCCACTTCCCCTTCTTCAACCACCACCAACCCCTTCCTCCTTCCCCCTTGAACCGCCGGCTTTCATAACCCCTCCATCACCCCAACTGAGAACCCTACCCCCACTCCCAAGCCTAACCGGCCACCCCCTTCCTTCATTGGCTCCACAAATTTAGTCTTGCATTCAAAGCCCTTCCTATTTTAGCCCTCTTAATTTGGCAACGAATTCAAATTAAAAAAAAAAAAATTCAAATCAAATTGAATTTAAAATTTTTTCCTAAGTAAGAATTCCTATTTTAGGTAAGTAAGTCTTTCCTATCATAGCCCCCTCAATTTAGTAACAAATTTGAATTCAAAATTCACACAATTTTGAATTTGAATTTGTTTCCTAAATAAGAATCCCTATTTTATAAAACTTATTTAAATTATATCTAATTAAATTTCTAATTTCTAATTGAATTTAATTTAAATTAATTTTCTCAATTAGTAAATCTCTTTTAGGAAACCCCCCAAATCTCTCAAATCTGAAATTAAAATCAGATTTAATTTCCTACTCACATTTATTACGTGCGTCCACATATATTGTATGTGGACACTTCTCCTCCCTCCCCATATGACCGGCCCCCTCTCTCCCCTTCTCTCTAATTAATGCCCCTCTATTAAAGCTTTCAATCAACCCCAATCAGCCCCTATTAGCACATCCCCCTTATTCCCCATTAAGGATTATTTGAATTTCAAACAATTCCTTCCCTCCTTTTAGGAAATCTAAAATTAAATTCATATTTCTTAATTTCTTCCCCCTCCTCTATCTTGGCCGCCCCCCTTTATTCTCTTCCCTTCTCTATTTTAATTAAATCCTTCACAAAATTGGCACTCTATTTAAGGGATTAATTAAGTAACCCATTCCTTCTATTTTCCAATTAATTTGAAATTTCAAATTCACATGACCCCCCTCCCGTCCTACATCAGTTAAACTCAGCTAGTAGATCAACAACATAAGCATTGTTGTTGATCTTCTTACTAATAGGAAAAGGACCAAATTTTTTCTTGCCGAGTTTTGAATATGCTCCAGCAGGGACCGGAGGTGCACCTTGGATAAACGAACAAAGACCAAATCACCATGATTGAAAATTTTCTCTCGTTTGTGTGCGTCCGCAATTATTGTGTACTAAGTATTAGGTGATTGCAGCTTCAACCATATGTGCAGTGATTTGAATAGACGGCCGATGTTGAATCCCTTAATAATGGGCCATTTATTGAGCATTTGAATGTCTTAATGATATCAGAATTTGGCGATCTTGGGCTTGTTGGATTCTTCTTGTTTAGCCGCTCGATTCAACTATAAGCACGCCATATTTAGAAACTATTTGGTAATCTAAATTATAGTTTGAACCCTCCAAATGTGCTTCGGGTCTTTGATTTGGACTCATTTGAGCTTGGATTGAGTTGGACTTGGTGTTGTTGGGCTGGTATTTCCGAGACGTTCAATTCGACTATAAGTTTGCTGAAATTGAAGTTCATATGGTCTCCAATTTAATTTTTGAAGTTTTCAACTTGATTTATTGCCTAGAGATTCGTGCCCGACCAAGATAATTTTTCGATGATATATCAATTTCCCCCTATTTTCGGACGTCGAAATTAAACAAGGAAGCAAGAAGAGAGGAGAAGAAGAAAAGATAAGAAAGAAGAGAAGGAAGAGACTCCTCAACCACCACGGACTTTCACCCGACAACCGATCGATGCCGGAATTAAGTAAGGAAGAAGAAGATAAGAGAATGAAGAAGAGAAGGAAGAAAATGAAGAGAAGGAAGAGACTCCTCCTCGACCACTGCCGAACTTTCACCGGACTGACAACTGACGCTGGAATTCTGCTCAACTGTTGACTGGTGCCGGAATTCTGCTCGACAGCCGATTGACGCCATAATTCTGCCCGACTATCAATTGAAGCCAGATTTCCGCCCGACCACCAGAACGTCGCCGAATTTCCTATCTCCATTTGCAACTAAAATCAACTCCCGGGAGTTGATTATTGTAATCTGATCGTCCTCAATTTCAAGGACAAGTCACTCACTTGTAATCTAAGTAAACACTAGGGGAATTCTTTCAACTGGGTGTGGCCCCGTGGTTTTTCCCTTTTTCAGGGTTTCCACGTAAAAAATACGGTGTTCCTTTTTTATTCTGTTTGTGTGTTGGATATCCGTACAAAACTAAGACGTAAAATTTTCTAACTCTATCCCTGCGTATCTTCTAGCCCGCAACAAGACTCTATCCCTTTCCTAACATATGTTAAATATATCCAAGTATTTTGTCAGTTCATTAGGGATGTTATGCTGGCCAAGAAAATTATTGCCAATATTTTTTATTTTAAACAAGTGGCCTACATCTTTATCAAAGTTCAGAATCACCTAACTTTTTTTCATTTATATAACAAGTTATAGCTAATAGAAATATATGCTCCCCTTAAAAGATGGAGTGTTGACGCACTAAGTAGTTTAACTATTTTGGAAGATACGTTTATGTCACGTTAACAGGGACATCAATCTCGTCTATTTACTAATTTTCTTTGTAATCTTTTGAAGATAAACGAAATTATCCTCTCAATAGTATTATTTGTGATCTTAACAGAATAATCATTTCAAAAGTGATAGACACTGATGCTAATCCACTTAAATCCGTGTAATAAACGCGAGGTTCTATAAAATTTTCCTGTAAAATATTTTGCTTGGATGCTAAATCCAATTTGGCGAATGGCGACAAAGATATCACTAAATAATGGTCATGTGATAAGAAAGGGAGAGCTGGAAGACCTTTAAGATTTTGTGCTGCAGAAGAATAGAAATAGCACCATGCTTGAAAAGATTTCTCAGCATCCCCTTTGCTTGGTGTTTTTGATTTATCAGCTTTTAAGGATTGATTTGTCAGCCTTTAGGTTTATGAGATTTGCAGTAGGAGAGGTTTAGGCTTCGTTTGGATGGCTTTTTTATTGCTTCTTTAAATAGTTTTTTAGTACAAATTTTTGTATTGAAAATAACTTTAAGAAGCAACAAAAAAAAGGTCCCAAACGAAATCTTACAGGCACTTAATTTGCTTAGCCTTCATGTCTACTTGGCTGAAAGATTGATCGATGAAAGCTTTAGATTTTACTGCATAAAAATCACAAAATAATCCTCATACTATCATTTTGCTCCAATTAATTTTTGAACTATACAAAACTGATCCAAAATGATCTCTCATATTATAATTTTGATATAAAATTAATCTCAATTTAATCTTCGACTATATTATTAAAATTAATCCCACTTTATTCTCAAAAGGACTATTTAGATCAAATTTGTATATTAAAGAGGCTATTTTGAAGCAACATGCTGCTGATCATATATGAATAGTTAGGAGACTATTTTGAAATTCAAGAAGTGCTCTGATATTTAAGATGTAATGAATATCTTTAGAAGCATCTAATCTCATAGATCGATAATAAAGGTACATACAAACAAACATCTATACTCATAGATTGATGAGAGATAGTATCAATATTGAAAACATCTATGAAAATTAAAGTACTGATAATCAAAACAAACATAAATATTACCTTCACAATCTGTTAGCTTTGCTGTTAGCAGGCTTTACAGTAAGTATATACATCAATTTATAGTCGTTTTTCTCACACATGCAATATAATAATCCATGCTAACAGTAATGCTAACAGACCAAGGTGACCAAAAGAAAACTTCAAACAGAAACACGTTTCAAGTATAACACTTGTTGGTAGAATAACCGGTTGACATCTCGCTGGGACAGATTGCAGAATCCCATAGAAGATTCAGCTTCCAGTCATCAGAAGCACTTGCGAGGTTGAAGGGAAAATTCATGGTTCTCAAATTTCCCCACTGATTATTGCCACCTATGATGCTACTCAGAGTCTTTTTAGCAATCATATCTTCTTCATCAGTTCCCAAGTTCCCATTTGCCTCCAATGGAAATGTAACGGTGAATCCATTTGACTGATTTGGCTGTTCAAAGTCTATACACGGAGAAGAAGATTTCTCCATATCCTGAAGTATTGTAGGGGATAAGTTGAGAAGCATGGAGGCCATATCTACTGATGGCTTGATAGGCATTGATGTTTCAGGCGGCGAGAACATGAAACTTGAGGGCATTTCAGATGGCTTGCAGCTGCTCAAGTTTATGGACTTAAAGTTAGTGAAATCCATGGAAGGATAAGTCACTGCACTGCTATGATATTCTAAGCCACTGTTACAACCAAACTGGATTGCTGAACCAACTTCTGTGGTGCAAGAAGTATTCTCTGATGCAAAGTGTGTAAGATTCATGGCACGGGGAAGAGAGAACTTGTCTAAATCTGTCGGTTCTGGTAATGAAGATACCCAGGAGTGAGAAAGTGCTCTTTGTGCTGAGGTGTTGGCCTTCTTGAAGATCCTGCATATGGCCCATGATTCCTGTTCATGATAAGAAATGGTTATTTTTAATTATGTTTTTTTTCATGGAAAAATCAATTCATTTTCCTACCACAAAGTTGACAAAATAATTGATCCAAATGAAACCAAGGTGAATGAGAAATTATTAGTTTCGGATACCGGACAGAGAGAATCATCCGGATTTCTTTCTGTCTACAGTAAAAGCACAGTCAAAGCACAATCAAAACGTAGTTATTGTAGTAGCTGCGTTTTAACTGTGTTTTGGCTGCGCTTTTATCATAGACAGAAAGAAATCCAGATGATTCTCTCTGTCAGGTAATAATTTTCCCAGAAAAAGAGACTTACGTTGGCAGGAATGAAGTTCTTGTCAAGAGGTCTTTTGGGAACGGAGGGATCACTAAGGGATGGAAGCCTGAACTCGTGCATCATCCAATCAGTTTTCATACCTTTGGCTGCTCTTCCCTTGTAAAAGACTAGAGATTTCTTCAGGCCAATGCATTTTGTTCCTTCAGAGGAGTAGATAGGCCTATCAGTTCCAGTAGCTTTCCAGAATCCAGCTCCTGTGACTCTGTTAGGCCTCGCGCTGTTGCGGTATTTCCTATCCCTCGGGCAGTAGAAATACCATTCCTTCTCTCCAGTTGTTGCCATCTCTGTTCACAAGATAATGCCATAAAAATTAGTCATCTTTATGATTTAAAAATACATGAGTTGTTTCTGTATGAATTTACTATGTTTTATTATCCATAACATATAACCTTTAGGCTTCATTTGGAATGGTTTTTTTTCTGCTTAAAGCAAAAAAAATTTACAAAAAAACTGTTTTAAGAAGCAGGAAGAAAGCCATCTCAAATGAATCCTATGTTTCCTGATATTGCTTTTGCGTTTGTTGGTTTTCGAAGTCTTTTCATATTGTTGCCAGTGAGAGATAAAGGTTATACTTGATTAGGGATGACTTCTAAACTTGTCTGAGGACAAGGAGACACAACTAGTATTACTTTACTAGTTCTCTGACTTAACATGCTAAAACCATGTGTCTGGAAAAGCTATGAAAACTTAAACAAATAAAAAAAAATGAAAATAAAGGAAAATAAATTGCTAAACTTAAAATTTTTGTTTTGCTTTTCACTTGCGAAAGTGAGAACACCATAAATTATTAGGAGAAGATGAAAAAGATAAGGAAGGTATCAACTCTCCACACCTAATAATTTTTCGTAAGAAAACTTCATAAGCTTCGTTTGGGATGGCTTTTTTAGTGCTTCTTACAGCAACTTTTTAGTACAAAAGTTTTAATTTTTATACTAAAAAACTGTTTTAAAAAGCAGGAAAAAAACCGTTCCAAACAAAACCTTAGCAAGTTTGTTAAGGTGACGGTGTTCTAACAAAGAAAATAATGATTTCAAATGAAAGAACTTTTTCTCTTCTTCTTCATCTTTAAAAACTAATTCATCTAATAATATTAATTGATTATGAGTGATGCCTTACTTGGGAGGTCCCAGGGGTCATATTTGTAGATATCAAGTTGCTTGATGAGCTCAATAGAAAGAGGCCTTTGCTGTATCTTTCTCCTCAGATAGAAGCCTACCAACTCTTCATCTGTTGGATGGAACCGGAATCCCGGCAACATAATCTCATCAACCTTATCCATATCATTCTTCTCCTCCATAGCTTCTAAAAACTATGAACTCCTCCGAAGGAACAATCAAAACAAGTTATAAATTCTTCTTTGAAGCCTAAGTGATCTTACACTGATAGAACCGATGGAACAGATCATGGACTATAAAAATCCCAAAACTAGATATGATATGACCATGCAGAAAATCAACTATGTTGTAAGAAAGACTCTCAATCTAATGAAAAGGAAGAGTACTATTCTGTGATTGATTCAGGAAACCATTTTAGTTAAAAAATGGTTTCACTTGTACTCTATCTGAATGCTCTACCACTGCTCCTTATAAGCAAGAGGCCAAGGTGCCAAGGCAGAATAATTTATTTGATGAAAGGGGTCTTGTGAATATTTTAATAAGAAGAGATTGATCTCAAAAAGTCTACACGTTCAGCTTCATATTGGGATTAGCACATCATTTTCATTTCACATATTATAATGTTCAAACCATGGAACAATTTTGAATGCAACCAAATTTGAGGACAGCTTTGAGGTAGGCCCTTACCTTTTTTTTTAACCACTCCTAACACTATCTAATAAACTAAATGTCTGTATATTCAATCCCAAGAGTCTGCAAATTCTTCTGATATTCTTTTTCCTTTGATTTATACATAATATAATTATACCCAAAAAATATATATTGAAGCTTATATGCAGATGAGCATATTCATCTTAAGCTTCGTACCATACAATTTTCTTGTTGTTTTCTAAAGCAGCTTTCAAGTACAAAATTTTTTTGAAAGCAATGAAAAAATAACAGCCAAAAGGTGTCTCAAATGAGATTAATTATTTTGTGTGGACGCTGAATGTCATCCGGAGACCAACCAGAATGCACCACGTCACCCCTTCGCTCGTTACTGCAGCTCGGTATTGCTGATTGGTTTTTGGACGGCGTTCTGCGTCCAGCCTCCACATAGATAATTTCTCCTCAAATTAAGCCTTATTTAATAATTATTGCCATGCTTTGAAAGATCTTTTATTTGATTTTTACCGTTTAGGTATTTTGATGATGAGAATGAGTTTTTTACAATAAGATCTTTTAAAGCATCATAGCTCGAAAAAAAAATATTTTTTTATTTTATTTTAGATAAAAAAAAATTTATAATACTCACAACATTTTTTAAAAATATTAATCTTCTCACAATAATTTCATAATCAATTTTGCAAAAAATGGTGGATCCTTTGAGACTTGTTCTTCAATGAAGTCAATAACAGTCAGCAAATTCTTTTTCACACACAGAGCTAACAAAGATCATATTAACTGCAAAGACAAATCTACCCTTGAATTTGGGCTTCTTCATTCCTTTGTACCTAATTAATTGATGAGGTGAGGCGTAATTTTGCATGGAGATAGTATCTGGACATGTCATGGCTAAAGTCATTATTGCCGTGTAAAATACTTCTCAGTGAATAAAGAAGCTTCTTGATAATAATAATAATACAGCAAGTCAATGTTGACAGCTCTTGGACTTATTATACAATCATGTTTTAGGCGTCTGGGTCGTGTTCTTTAATGAGTGTGGATTTATACTGAAACCTACGTACCTGTTTCTCAATCATTCTCCAAACTTCTGCTTCGTGAATGAATTAAATAAGGAGGCCTATAACTGGTAATTTACGTCACAATTTAGCTTAATTATTTTTTTTTACTTTTGGTATAATGACACTGCATGATTAAAGAAGCTGGCTGACTCTGATAGTAATTTATGTGATATTTATAGCTGCATAGAAAGGGGAATTAAGTTAGAAAGAAATAGGAGAATAAGATTGAGGATCTTGAAAGTAGAATTCATACAAGTCTTTCAAATATGTTTCTTATTCAGGAAGAGTTCATGTTCGGCTCAATTGGTAATTAAACAACTCAAATGGGGGGAAAAACATTAGAGAGTAGTTAAGCATGATACGTCACCAAAAATCAGCTTGATAAAGCATTAATCTTGAGACATATTTGAATAGGAAACTTCGAAATTAAAGTTGGGACTAATCGAGCTTTGATCTTAGCAAACTTATAATCAAACTGAACGTCTCGACAAAGTGAATCCAATGACATGAAAATCGGTCTAATTAGAGTCCAAATGGGCTCAAATCAAGGGACTAATGCGTACTTGAAAACTTCAAAGCATTAATTGAGTAATCAAATGATCTCTAAATATTACATGCATGCTTATAGTCGAATCGAGCTGCTTGATGAGACAAAACCAACGAGCCCAAGATCACTTAATTCTAAAGGCACTTAAGTGCTTGATGAAAGCTTTATGTTGCAGGGAATCTATATGGACCATTTAATGGAGCACTTCTAATTTGACCTACATTTTCTCCATATTTATGAAGCATGCTATTTTAAAAAACTTATAAATAGACCATCATTCTTCACATAAGAGGGAGGGGAGGACGAAAGATAGAGAGAACTAGAAAAAACTCTCTTACATTTTCGAGTTATCGTTGTTGACGACCACCATTAGCTATTACCGCTGAAAATCACCATCACCATTGAGGATTAACATACGAAATCTCTACCATCTCTAAAGCATTAACAAAATTTGACCCTATTGTTGGGTATACTTGTCCGCCTGTGGGCATCAACTTTCTAAAATCCCTATTGAGAAAATTAAGCCTTGTTGTTGGGTATAGCATGTCCTTCTGCGAACACTTAATCTTTGCACTCTTTCTCTTCTTCAACAATGAAGAAAGGGGGATCTTTGTATCATTTACAATATAGTGAATTTTGCAACAGGCCAGCCCCCATGAATTTTTTTCATTTTTGCATTTTCTACACAAAAAATTCTGTGGTACTACCACTTTATTTGTTCTTGTTGAATCTTTGTACAACGCTAAGACATAAAATATACATTATACCAACCAAATTTTATAGCACACAACAGTTTGACGTCATATGCGATAAACATTCCCAACATACTTTTTTCAATGGCTAACAATCAATCTCTCAATCATGAACAAAAAAATATGGGTGATTAAGTCCTCTCAAGCCTCAATTTAGATAATCGTATGTATAGGATGGAGAAAGTTCAAAGTCAAATCTTTTAATTATTAGAGGAGGCTGGATAACAGAGGGCACCATCATGATATGATGGAGTTTTTCCTCCACAATACCAACAATAATTTAGAGATAACATCAATCACGGAGCACCATCATCCCTACAAGCTTATCAAGATATCTTTGATATAATTGGTTCAACACAACCTCCCCACATTAGTTGGCCAAACCATAATACTCAACTTGTTATGGAGGGTTTAGATCAATATCATCTTATTGATACCCCTCAAGATGGTATAAGAAATATACTACAAAGCTTTACTCATATGGAATTCCTTTTGAGGGAGTGGAATCAATTTAATCATCCATGCAGCTTGCAATAGTCCTCACCCTTAACAAATGAAATTCTCAGACATCTTATTCTAGTGGGATTCAAGTTACTTGCAATTGAACCATATGATGGATTGATCTTTTGATCCTACAAACATATTGATCATTTTAGGACCATCATGCATATCCTACAGGCTTCTAATGCACTTCTTTGTTAGGTCTTCCCTACTACTCTCAAGGGTCAAGCTCGTACTTGGTTCTATTCACTCTCAAAAAACATTATCTACACTTTTACGCACATTGTCAGACATTTTGTTGAATAAATTATTGCTAATCAAAGAATTATCAAAGACTCCTCACATCTTTCTAGGATTCATTAAAATGAGGGAAAACATTAAAATAGTACTTCATAAGATTTTCTTCTAAAGTTCATAAAATTATAGAAGTAGATCTTGAGTTATTACGAGGTATTTTTTTGGGAGGCCTTCGATCTAGACCATTCTACTCATCATTGATGAGAGGGACTATTCACTCATATAATGATCTGATTCATCAAGTGGAAGTTCAAATAATAATAAATGAGTCCATTAATGCTCATCAAAAGTAAAATAAGTGGAAGTTCAAATAATGATAAATGAGGCCATTAATGTTCATCAAAAGTAATATGAGCAATCCTCTAAATAAAAAAAATTCACAAGAATTTGATCAACCTATATAATGAAGAAGGCAGGAGAAGTCAAAAAATGAATTTCATCAAATTCATTAAAGATCACCTGACTACACTCTTTTAAATACGTTAAGGGCTAATATTCTAATAAAGATTCAAACTTTTGAACATCTCAAGTGGCCAAAGCCCCTAAGAAATCCAACAAGCAGAGATTGGACTCAATATTATAACTTTCATCAATCAAAGGGACATTCAACTGAAAAATGCTTTCAATTGAAGGATGAGATTGAACATCTGATTTGTTAAGGATATTTAGGTCATTATTTATAATAACAATTGGTAGATCATCAGCCTAAGAATAGAGGAGATCAAAAGAACCGTGACAATGAAATTATTGGCATTATTGATTAATATTACCCTAATGTTTAAAATTCTTTAAAGGATCTAAACTCTTTAGAATTTTTAAATTATTTATCTTTCAAAGTTTTATTAATGAAGTTTTATATAAATACTATTATATATAATAATAACCCTAGGAAGGCGCATCTATGAGGTAGCCTCGAAGAAAGCTAATAGTGGACAAAGTCCTCACTAGAAAGACTCTATGAGGGTAGGTGATAGATAAAGTCTCCACTCATAACCCAAGAAAGGTATACTCATGAGGTAGCCTCTTGAAGGAAAACTAGTAGTATATAAGGTTCTCATTAGAAAGTCTCCATAAGAACAAGTGGTTGACAAGATCACCACTCATTCAAAGACCTTCTAAGATAAAAGCCTCAAAAGATTCAAGATTATCCAAAAATCTCAGAAAGCATACACCTCAAAAGATATATGTACACCAAAAACTTTAGAAGGATAAAAGCCTCAAAAGGTATATGTACATAAAAAATCTTAGAATGATAAAAGCCATAAAAGGTACTGGAACATAAAAATATCATAATGTTAAAAGCTTAAGCAGATATACATTTTTTTAATTCTCTAAAATCTTCAGATGACTAAAAGTTGTATAAGGAATAAAATTCTATAAACTAGCTGCTCTAAATAGGGGGAAATATATCAAAGTATATCTCAAAAATATATAAATAACTTAATTTCTCTTTGGTGGCAAATTTACAAATATTCTTACAAGAAGATAGAACATTCATTACTTCAAATAAACATCAAGCTCATAAAAATTAATATCTCAAATTCATACAGAATGTTATTTGATTTACATGATTATACATCAGATTTAAGTATATATTCTTTATCATCTAAAAAGTTGAATTGTAGGAAGTGAAGTGCTCTCAT